GTTTACGCTTCTGTTACTCTCCCATTGCATCCGATTTACGCTCCGATTTTCATTTTCATCAGGGAAGACGCAGGACGCGGAAGTTAAGTTCACCCAACTTTCTGCGTCCTGCGTTCTGCGTCCTACAATCATATCATAATTAAAATACATTAGGTAGAAGTTCACCCAACTTTCTGCGTCCTACAATCATATCATAATTAAAATACATTAGGTTAGTTTCTAGTTTTGCGACCTGCGACCCGTGTTCCGCGTCTTATGTAGAATGGGCTTTAATTAAATGTACGTGCGGCTCCGTGTGAGAAATGTGGAGTCGCTGCGACGAGAGGTTTCTCGCGATAGCTTTGTACGGCAAACACGCTCAATCCAAAATGAGAATCATTGAGACTAAACAGTTTCTTTTTAACCCTTTCATGACCGATTTAATTTTTTTATAATCTTTATCGATGAACATTTTATCATTGGTGGGACAGACATCCCATCGAACTTATTGACAGAAATTCTTAGTGAGACACTAAGATATGTCCCACTGTTCACGAAAGGGTTAACAGTTTTAGCGTTTGCCACACTGAGCAAAAAATTACTAAATCTTATTGCATATTTCTTTTTAATAATACTAAGTAAACATTTACTTATCGTAAATAAATATTTATTCAATAAAAAAATGATAGTTGAATCAAATTAATGATTTTGGTATCTAATAAATGTATACTTACATTTAGTAAATATTTACTTAGAATTATTGAAATACTTATTAAAATTTAGTGTTATTTTTTCAGTGCATACACAAAACGCGAGTGACTCTGAAAATTCCTCCGTTCTGAATCATTTTGGAATATAATCGAGAGTAATGTATTCTCATCGAGGAATATATTCTCGTCGCGTCGATACTCGATCACCTGGAATTCTCGGCGTTTCCAAGCGTGCGTATTTAACGATCGCTCGTTTTTAACGAATGAGAGATTGATAACGATTCCACATCGATGATCACGCAGCGTTTAGCGAAATTCCATCTATTTGAATCCTCGCTCGTTTAACGCGATCTGTCTCGCTGCTCACTTAGGCGTATCACCAATTTTTTATCTCGTTCTTTTTCCTCCTTTCCTTTAGATAAAGGAAATCCATCCGAAGCGTATCTGGCGCTAAATGGGCGAGGATCCCCTGCGAATGCGAGCCTGCTGATCTGGAGTCGCGCGGAGAATATATATTGTGGCATTAAATAACGTTAAGATATATCGGGCATATATACGAATGAGGGGGCCGTGATGCGTGCGGTTTCGCGTAAGATAAGTTCTCGACCTGCTGCAATCAAGGGTGAATATTTTTACCAAGGATTTTAGTGAAATTGCTCGCGGACGGGATATCGAGTCAGTTCCCTCGTCCGATTTTCCTCTCGCGGCTCTCGCTGCGAAGAGTATCGTTAGATCTTTATTAATTCTTCAAATTATACTATTAATTCGCGTAATTTATCGATCAGAAATAACGCGATTATCCAGAGTTCGAATTTTCAAGTTCTTTTCTGCTCTTCCTTAACTGCAGCTGCCGCACGTGACACGGTGCGGATGCAGCGGGGCAGAAATCGTCTTTGCGCTGACGTAGTATATATTATAAATGTGTATGTACATATAAATGTATAGACCTGCGATGAGAGGCAGAACGCGTGAGAGGGAGAGTGTGTGCGAGAGAGCGACTAGAAAGGAAACGCGAATAACGGATGAACGGAAGAGAGAACACTGTTGTCAAATGCGTTCGCGGAATGGACCGTTATCGTGGAATGTCTTGTTGACGACAGATTCTTTCGGGAAACAGATTAGACGAGTTTTGCCCCGGAATTTCGAAAATATCGAAGCTCTTCGGCCGGCTTGCAGAAAGAAAACTCGAAAGTTAAAAATTATTTCTGAAGATTAAAATTACTCTCTAAATTCTTTGGAGTGGAATCTCACTTTAAAGGAGGGATAGCAAAAGATGTTTTTTTTTTTTTTAGAATAAATTGTATTTTTTTTTAAACATGTTTTAACGCTTCATACATGCTTTAAATAGTATTATAAATAAAAATATGTTTAAAACACGTCAAAAACATCGATTAGCACTTTTTAAACAGTTTAAAACATGTTTGAAATATATGAGTTTTACCAATCCTGTTTTAAAGAGTGAAAATTGAGCCAGTCTTGAAAAACAGTGGCTCAATATTCAATCTGTAAGAGTGAGATTTTATTCTTCAGAGTGAAATTCATTCTAAAAGCTTTAAAGAGTATCTTCACCGAAATGTGAGAGAGAATTAACGGAACGTGGCAACGTTGTTTTCAGCTTTATCCGTTAACGCTATGTCAACGTAAATATGTTAGATGAATATTATTATTGTTGTTAGAAATTTTATTTTTATTCGTAAAGGGTGAGACACCTCTTTCTGTCGTCAACTGAATAGTCAACGGTACATCCCGCGCACGCATGTTACGTACGTATAGGCAACGACATTAATATTTATTAATTATTGGCGTGCACGATATTATATCCCGTCGGGGAACGATTTTCCGCGAGGAAGGAAAGATCCTCCTCGGGGAATCGTTTGCCGCGACGCGTTCCGACTCGTCTCGTTGGAACGATTTATCAGTAGGGTCGTACTTTCATGCTCGTTTCTCGATCACACTTATACATGTACACTCACACATGGACACACACGTACACATTATTATAATTACCCAAAAGTAACTTGTACTATGTAACTATTACTATTTTTATGAATTTTTGTACATTTTTCTAATTATTTTGTATAATAATCGTTAGCGGAAAGAGAGAAAATGGCAGAGTCTGACACCCACCTCCCCAAAAAAGTGTTCAAAGCGGAAAAAAGGAGCTACATCGACGACGAAAAGAAATAGAAAAAAAAAAAGAAACGAAAAGGAGAGAAATTTGGGTGTGAGTGCGCTAATTATGTAAGCTAATGCGAATGTATGCGCACGATCGTATGTGTGTGAATTTACGAACGTGTGAAAGATAAAGAAACATAGTGAGAGAACATGAATGAAAGAGAAAGAGAGAAAAGATGAGGAATGCAAATTAGATGATGGAAGAAGTACGCGAGAGAACGTATAACGTATGTGTGCGACATTTTGTGAAGATAAAGAGAGCGAAAAAGAGATGGAAAAAGAAGAGAAAAGAAGAAGGAGAAGCCACGATTGTCGACAATGTAGTCCACCGTTTGTCTGTGTAATCTTATCTTAAATCTGTCTCCTTGTCTGTCTGTCTGTCTGTCGGTTTGTCTGTCTGTCTGTCCGTGCTGCGTTTTACAGGGGAGGAAAATCCGTTAAGATCTCTTTAAAAAAAGCGACGTAGCGTTACTTTTTCTCTTGAAATATACGACGCAATGACGATGACGACGACGATGATTTTTATGTTTTGTATTAAAAGAAAAACGCGCGACGAAATTTTTCTTCGTGACAAACCCGCTAAAGATGTATATATATGTATATTTATATAAACATATATATATATATATATATATACATAAATATATATCGTCGGAAAGAGGAAGAGAGAAAGAGAGGGAGAAGAAAGGAGAAAGAAAAGAGAGCGATACCGACCGGAAGAAAAGAGAAGTAGAGTATCGGGAAAGTATAATAAAAAAAAAACCGACTAAATGATGTTCAAAAAACGACGATAAAACAAAAGAAGGAAGGAGAAGGGAAACGGTGTAGAGGCGGTGAGGATTTAAATAATTCCACGGCTCTCCGCAGGCAGACGCCGCGAATAAGCGAAAATGTGTGAAAAGAAAAAAAAAGATCTACTTCGTATTTGACGACGTGTTTGTTATAATTATAAGGGTCACCTTTTCTTTTCTTTTCTCGAAATGAAATGCTATAAAATAGATCAATTCTTTCATGGATATACGGTGTCCTGTTGCTTTCGCCTGATCCCGAACGCGGTTCCAATCCGGCGAGAGACGTTCTCGGTTATGTGCGTGCAATCGAGCGAAGGGTTTGGAGCATGAAACGCGGAGTTTGCGAGCTCACGACTTAAAACGATTGACCTGAGTATGTATTATGAAATTTATTCCGATCTCGGAATTATTCAATTATTTCCTAGAATTCTATTTGTAGGAAAAACGGAATAATTCCGATCGGAATTCATTCCGAATAATTTCATAATACGTACCTTGTAAAATCGACATTTCGTAATTACAGTGTCATGAAGATTTAGTTCCGATTTAACGAAGAATTATTGCTCCGAACCGTTCGAGCTCTCATCTCCCATTCCTCCTCGATTCCTCGATGAATGCTCCCGTAAAAAAAAAAAAGAAAAAAGAAACGCAGAGAAACGAGATATATGTGTATATATTTTACGACGTCTCGAGTATAGAATCAGCGAGCCAAAAGGCAATTATTCTTCTACTCTTACTACTTGATATTTATATGTGCAACTTTTCGATTTTGTTCGTTTCCACCCTTTTTAGTACTTTAATAAATGAGTTTGTTAAAAATAATACCTGATAGCACTTTATTTACGTTACTCTCTGTTTGTGCGTTTTCTTCTTTCTCTTACTTTTAGTAGTGATTATTACGTTAAATCGCTCGACGGTCTCATTAGAGTGCGTAATTTTCCTTACTTTAAATTTTAAGTTTCCATTAAAATCCATATTAATTTTGCGAATCGTTCCCATGGAAACAAAATGATCTCGTGCGGAAAAATGATCTTCAGAAATTAGAAGTGGAATGAAAAAGGCAAGTAAATGATAATTGTATGTATATTTCGTCTAAAAATTGTTCAAAAATCATCATATAATATAGGTATATTTTCTCCATATATAAGATTTGCAAATTATAGTAACATTTAAATATATACATTTTTTTCTAATACTTAAATATGCAACAGTAAGCGCAACATTTGTTACCATAATTAATTCGTAGATGTTATTAATATTTAAGAATAATAATGTTATATGGATACAAATTTATATAATTTACAAAACTTTTACGTTTTTACTTACAAATAGTATCATACTGTTTTTTAGGTCGGAAAAACGTGAAAATAAAGTTTTCCTAATTATTGTAAATTATAATTGGTGCATCGAATAATATACAATCTAAGACCTAAAGTGGGAGTTGCGACATAATAAGGAAATTTTAACATTCCATTACACGCTGCTCCGTATTTTCCCTCTTTGTTCAACGCGATCACCGCGCCGAAGAAGCTACGATAGTGATTGGTGATTCTGCTAATCGCCTTCTGAGCAGCTTCCGTTGGCGACGCTCCATAACGCATTTCCTCTACCGCCAGGAAGCTGCAAAAATGGTATTCAACTTAGTTTCGACAACTGTATTACTAAAAACTTACTATACATATTACACTAGATATTAATTTTACTTAACAAATTTAAAATTAAAGTAGAAAGGTTAAGACCAAAATCAAAATAGTATGTATAAATTTCTATTTTAGTTCATTAAAATATATCTAAAAAATACATGTTTATATTAATACATAATGTTACCTTGGCAAAAATCGCATTATAATATCTCCGTCGCCGGTACTGGCAGCTGCACCGACTTTCTGATCAGCATAGGCGCCAGCTCCTGCAATAGAAGAATCTCCGACACGTCCAGGTATCTTGTACTTGACTCCATTCGTGGATATTCCAGCAGCTGTGCGTTCCTGTGAGTCTATCGCAAGGATACCGATTGAATCATGATTTTCCTCGCTTCCTACTGATGTGTTTCTACTGCTTTTGTCATCTTCTATCATGTGATAAGGTCCACAGCTAGTTGTTGGTTTCGGCATAACGTTCTAGGTAGAGCAAGAATATCGAAAAAGTAATAATAAATTGAAATATGTGCTGAAAAAGAGCACGTCTTCTCTCTCAATACCTTCCAAAAGTTGGGTTGACATTTTTTCAGTTTCCATTGCTTCCACATCTGTTTGGACTCATTCGTTTGCAGAGACTCATTCTTGAATCCCATATTTATAGCAAAGTGCGTAGCCAAGTCTCCAACTAGTAGGGAATGTTTTGTATGCTTCAATACTTTACGAGCGACCGAAATGGCATTCTTCACGTTCCGCAGTCCTCCTACTGCACCTACATCCATCGCCACTCTATCGAAAAGAATACATTTCTTGAATAACCTCCCTGTGTTGTATAAGTTTAACGAAACAACACAGTAAAGTGATATGTAACATACACGTGTGTTAGATTATAGTTATAATGTTGAGTAGGCTCTGCTGAATAAAAATTATGTCACAAAGTTAAATAACAAAATCAAGTTATATAATGTAATTAAGATAAGTAAATCACGCAACGGATTATTCCAAATCAGTACGTGATTTTTTTCACATAATTTGAAAAGTCACACGATGATATGTTTTTTTCTTCTATTTCTAATTTTATTCAAGTCACAATATGGATGAAATTATTTTTAATATCATGTGATTTTTCAAATTATGTAATTTTAAAAAATCATATACTAATTTGGGACAATCTGTTAGGTGATTTATATACTAGTCTTAATTACATGATTTCGTTATGTAACTTTATGACGTGATTTTTTTCAGTAGAGCGAAATTACGCCCAATAAGTACGTTACATATAACTTGTGTGCTGAGAAGAAAAACTGCTTTTATTTCATTACCCATCCATAATCATAGCATCTAGTGTAGTTTCTCCAGATTCATCCGGACTGCCGCCAAATCCTACAGTCTTTTTGCATTGCTGCTCTTCGAATTCGCATAGGGAACATCCTTCCTCTATCGCGTCCAGAGCACTTCTCTTTTGTTTATATATCACGTCCCATGCTTAAATAATAATGAAAGTTGTCTTTAAATTACTTCGCATATCTTTTATTCTTGACATAGTTAGATATCTTAATATACCTCTCTCCATTGCATTTTTGTAAGCCCAGGTGATCACTATTATTGGAAAGTTATTCTCGGAAGCATTAAATGTCTGCATGGCGATTACATTGACGAGAGAGCAAATTTCGAAAAGCAACAAAATTCTCGCAAAGCTGACGAGCTTCATCCTGCTTATAGCTTTTACACTGTAATATAAAATATAAAACGTTAGTTTTAACTTAAAGATGTATATTAATTTTACATTTTTGCATGTTTAGAAAATCCACTATACATCTTTAAATTAAGATTACTATTTTATTTTTTACAGTATAGAGGTGCACGATGTCTGTGGAGGTACCAATATGAACTTTGCACAATCTAATAAGCAAAAAATACATATCTGATTGATACCATTGTGTTATAATCAGATAGAATCACTCAGAGATAATATAATTCATTGTTACTAATTAGCAATTAAAAATTACAATTTTTTTTCGTTTGGCAAATACCTACTAAATTAACTGAACTATTATATATTGAAATACTGCAATCAAGGATGCAGTCGAAGTCTCGCTACAAATACTTTGAAGCATTTGATTAATCAAAAAGAAAAAATTTTTCGAATTGATTTTATTAATTATCAAAGAATGCTTCAAAGCATTACCTTAACCCTCTAAGGTTATCACATACTAATGCTTTTTTGACAGGTGCTTTGAGTGCAATCATAAAAATATTGTATTAATGTATGCACATGTGTGTCTGATAAGAGATATGGAAAAGCCTTGTCAGTATCAGCCTTGTAATAAATTGGAGAATATATGGTTCTTGTTAAAATTTTAATATATATAGAAAGATTATTATTATATATTATTATTATTATTATACTTATCACAAATACAAAATTAGTACTTTGATATAATTTCATCAGTTTCTTTCTACGCAAAGAGAATTTAATTACTCGCAGTTTCATTAAATTTGTTGCTCGCAAATAATTTTTATACTTAAATCAACTACTCACATCAAACTATAATTCCCTTCGCAGTTTGCTACTCACAAAATCTGTATCGTTCGTCCGAGTCTAACTGACTTAAGGCGCAAAAACATAACAAATTGTTTTTCGCTTAATCGTCAACAGGTCAAACATCTTGACTGTGTTCTGCCTTTTGAGACCCACAAATGTTTAATCATATATATATATATATATAAATATATCGTTATATATAGCGCATAAAAATAAAAAATGATCAATTTTATGGAATCAAAATTTAAACTCATAATTTAATAGATATAGTAATGTAGAGGTCAATTAAAATTTAATTATAATTAACACTATCTTTTATATAATGCTTTTAATTTATTCTTATATCGAAGTTGCTCAGACAATATACAATATTTATAAAATATTTACAAAAGATTTATTTGAAATATTTTTGTGGTCTTACAGCATTTTCGGCCCGGCCGAATTTGCACCAACCTGGATTGAATTAATGTTTGCTATTGATTGATGTACGTTACACGTTGTACCAATAGGAAAACATGAATATCATTAATTCAACCCAGATTGATGCAAATCTGTAGTCGAGCCGAAAACGCTATTAGATTGCACAGATCATAAATATTTATTGTATAAATATTTTGTTGAAATATTTATTTATATTTGTTATAAATAAAACATTACATAAAATATTTAGTCCATATTTTAATAATATTTCAAATAAAGTTTTATATTAGATATATGTATAAAATATTTATAACATTTCAAAAAATGAATATTAATAAATATTTATCATAAATATTCTGTGCTGTTTGGATGTAAATAATTGTCGCTACGATTGGTACAACCTTTTTATTGACAACTGATGTTTATCTAATTACGATATATATCAAAGTTTTTTCGTATGATACTTTCAATATAAAGTTCAATGTAGTTTAATGTATTTAAAGTTTATAAGTAACGAGTTTATATCCTAAATTAATTCTTAAGCTGCTGTTTTTATATTTTGTAAAGTGCACGCATAATTATAATGCACAAATATAGTTATACACGCCCGAGGTTGATCGATTATGTAATGTACGTATATATCTTGCAATATCAGATAAAAATATTGATACAGCATGGCTGTTACTATTAAAACCTGAAACGGCGCCTACATCTATAAAGAAATTGGCAGAAAACTATTTCTATAAAAATTTTTATTTTATAATTTGTATTTGATAATACAATGTATACATAATTGATATAAATAAATCTATAATATTTACAAAAGAAAAATATAAATGCTTTCTGAGAGCATTATTCTCTTTTATAATCTTTAACTAACAGTGATCTTGCACTGTATATTCAATAGATTTTTAATATTTTTATTATGCAACAACAACACACCAATAATAATTGCAGACTCTGTGACAAGACCAATATTCAAAAAGCTAACAATACGATGCATACGAACGCCAGATGGCGTACCAGATAGGTGAATCAGCTGACTATTCTTCCAAGTGGAGTACGTCAATTAGGATCGTATTAGATGAATAGATATATGAAAATTATCTTCAGTTCGGTATTAACCAATGCATTTGTGTGCGGCACAACCGGTTCATGACGAACTCGAATGCAGACTGAACATGACGATGTTGGTTCTATGCAAATCACTGGACTTTCTCTCGTCTGACAGACCGAGAAAGACGAACGAATGCGCTTTGTAACATACGCCGTAATAAAAACAATTGTGTTAACAAAATATATATTAGCCACCTGAACGTGACTGCGCATATTTCATCAGGATTATAAAAAGAGAAGACTTATCGTCAGTATTACAGATCATAGAAACTTTTTCCTAGGTATGTAGAATTGTTTGTTTATAAATCAAATACAATGCAAGAAAACGCATATGATTGTATGAATGTCAAACAAAATTACAAAAATAAAAGTAATTCTTTTTAATATATCTATAATTCTGCGATACCTATTACAAAAGTTATTTATCTTGGAACAGTTATACTATCTTAATTGATTTTGTTTTTGTCTAAAATTATGTTTATTTTTAAGAATTATTTATTATAATTCTATTCATTTTATAATTTTTACAAAAGCAAAGATTAAATATTCTTATTTCTTTTTTTATATATTTTCTTCAATAGATAAAAGTAAGAGGATTTAATCTATTTTATTTATATCAAGTTCTTTTTTTTGTAACAAATTAGTTATAGCATACATTTTACAACTTTTGTTGCAGTAAAGCTGCAGCCAAATTATTAAGCATCTCAATTTTTTCTCTTTGTAAATAAATAAGGGACAAAAAATGGATCTTCCACTCATGAGCAATTATTTGGAAACATATTCCGGCAGAGATAAGATGTTAAGAACTTTGTCTTATGCGGCAAAGTTACTTACTGTATGTACTTCATCCAAAAGTGCCGAAAAGAAACTCAAGACCTTTGGAAGTCAGATGAGCGAATGCAGGGTGATGCTGCGCTTGCTAGATGATCTTCCGGCGCTTCATTACATGATGACATATGGATGGGGAAAGCAGGTATCTCTATTAATTTAATACTAATTAATTGTGTACAGTTAAAAATTAAGAACATAACTACATAGCTGAAGAAAACTTTTAACCAGCTATCTCAAGAATACTATATAATGGAAATGCATTGCGTTATTTTTCTAGAGCCATTTAAATTTCATATGTAATCTAATAATAGGAACCTGACTGGTTGATTAGATGGAGCCAAGTAATACAAAATGTAGTAGACGTTATTTATTCTCCCATAGAGCATATTGCTTGGGCTGGCCAGCATAATATTGTATCAATTAATAATGACAAATGGGATCTTGCTACAACTTGGTTTTGGATAGTTTCTCTACATCTGTCGTTATTGAAGTAAGCCAAAATATGTTTTATAATATTTTAAATATTTTCATAATTGTTGAAGATGCACACTATTTTATATCAGAACAATCCTATAATAATTATTATTTTCTTAGAGAGAGAGAAACACACATTTATAAAAGATAAAACATAAAATATTTCATTATTATTTCAGATCGTCTAGATTATTACAAAAACTTCAAAGATATAAAATAGGATTGAAAAAAAGTAATGTTAGTACACAGTGAGTATCTTATTATATTTGTGATAATATCAAGTTTTAAATGATTTTATCTTAGTAATATTATTCTTTAATGCTGATTCTACAATGAGTCGGTAGTTGGAAGTCTTAGTCTTAATCGATGACGTTAGCTAATCAGTCTTAGTCATGTAAGTTAGCTATTGGTCAACTTCACCGATAAGACTTAAGACTACCGATTACCGACTCATTGTAGAATCAGTGTAAAAAATGTGAAAATAAATTATGTATGTTTTTTTTTTTTAATGTAGTATCACATTGCAAGACCTCAACGAGCAACGACGAAGTGCACTATTGACATGCACACGTATAATGCTAGATATTTCTTATGCAATCAGCTATTTACCACCAGGAGTACTTTGGGGAGGCCGTTTAAAAACATGGCATGTTGGTGCACTTGGTACAATATCGTCATTAATTGGACTTTATCAAGCTCTCAGCCGCCAAATGAAAAGTTGAAAATACTTTTAAATATTAGTTTGGGAGAGGTTTGATCGCGAGAGAGAGAGAGAGAGATTGCAAAAAAGGTGGATGAATATGTTGTATATACTACGTATAAGGTTGTATTGTACATATATTGATATCAAATAAAAAATTAATACGGGTCGAAAATATATTAGAATATATTTTGTTGTAGCTTTGATGATCTTTTAAAACGATAGGTTCATCGTTCAAGTTGGAAAGTACTTTGCATTTTTACAATATAGATTGCATTCTGAAATAAAAAAAATATTTCAATCTTCTTCGTTCACGATTTTATTAAATATTACATACATATGTATGTCTGTAAAAAAAATGTTTTATTAGTTCCAGTAACGTATACATAATAGGAATTCAATGGGAGGACAAGAAAAAGATTTCATCGTTGTACTTATCTAATAATACATTACTCTATTTTTGTTAAAAACTGTTCGTATAAATAAAGGCCACTTTTAAACTTTTTTTTAAACCCTTGTAATTTTTTAGACTTTTATTAAATAACACTAAGTATGCACAACTCTCAGTGACTATGACAAATTATATTATACGAAAAAGTTAAGTCTAAACTTTGTAATTAATACTTAAAACAATGACTAGTTAGTTTTAAATTTATTAAAATTTAACTTTTCCGTAAATATGTATACGATAACA